CGTATTTTTATATTTTGAATATATCCCTCCACTGCATACTGTAACCCCTTTTGCCTCGATCTGGAGGATATCGCGGAGGTATTGCTCCAAAAAAGGTCACTGACGCACCTCTTCCCGTCATGGTAATCTGTGGCGCTGGTCGTGTTTGACCATTTGTTTGACCGGCGTAGCAACAATAACTAGGGGGCGTGGCTTTTGCGAACGGTCAATTGAGTGCAGAGGTTTTTTTTTTTCTGGTTAGGTTAAGACACGCCTCATAATCAAAGCCCTATATGGAGCAGTATCAGACTCACATTCTGACTAGAAAAAAATGACAATGACTTAATGTAAATACTCACACCACCTTTTGCACCTTGTTAGATTGTAGACCAAGTAATTTGCACAAATAGCTTGTGCATTAAAGTCTTTATCTGACACCAATTACCAAAATTAGTCATTTAGACAGCCAGTAAGTCATACATAATACGATTTTAATAAACAACACCAGTCTTCAATACTACCATTAGAACTTTAACTTCCAGTCTACAGTCAGCATACAAAAACAAATATCTAGCTCTGCTGGATTAGGGATGTTTAAAGGATTTCTACTTTCCCCCTCGGCAATAAAAGAAATCACAGCTTCGTACACACAGAGTCTTCACTGCACTGGAGGGCCGAACACATCACACATTCCCTCGCAACATCTCCTCCCTACTCTGATCTGTTTGTTTTCTGCAATGTCCGGCAGCTAGCAGGCTATCTCAGCATGCAGGCAACCAGCAGGGTTCAGCTTTCCACTAACTAATGCAGTACATATGCAGCATACTGATGAATGCACTGAATAGTAAATGTTAAATAGTAGCACCCGCATAAAAATAACTGAGATAGCTAATATACCTTAATTGTTACTCCCAGAGTGCAAATGGAGACTTGATTATAGTTGAAGTATATAAGATTTATGTTAAAATGCATTATCTTAACCCAGTTTATTGTTCATTTACTACTATTAGTATCCCTCTCTCCCAAAAGTGTAAACATTGAGCATCATCAAAACATTAAGATCAGCTCAGATCCGTCAATCTCTTTCCAGCTCAGCCAATAGTGAGAGTTTGGGGCGTGGCTACTGTAGCAGGCGGAGCCAGAGGGTGTTTAGTCGCTGTGGAACCAGCTTTGGTTACACAATTGCAAGCCAAAATTTACTGCATTTAGACCTTCAAAGATTAAACAGGCCATAAACACGTCAAAGTGAACGGAGCATTGTGATGCAGATGCTAAGCGCTTCAAAGGATTCTTCAATAACATACAGCATCATCATGCACCCGTTCAGAAAGACAAATGCCAGAGCCAGTTTATAGTGTTTACTCAGCCTAAAACAAAATGTGTAAAAAAAAATGTGCCCGGTGCAGATACGTTGGTTGATTGGGCTAATTATAAGCAAGACGCTCGCGTTCACTCTACATAGTGTTAGTCTCCTCGATTGCTTACTCAAGACACACAGCAATACAGCTAAAAGTGTTCCTAATATGTTGGACCTTTTATTGAAAGTAGCAAACTTTTACGTGTTGAAACATGCCATCGCAATTGCACCCGTAAAAGCCGTGTTTGTGATGGTGGAGTTGGGGGAGGTGCAACATGTGAAAGGGAGTTTGAAAATAAGCTTTATTTTTCGAATTCTGCTAGGGGCCTCTAGCGCCGCAGAATCTACATACTTCACCTTTAAGCAGTGTTGTGTGTAACGCGTTACAAAGTAACGCGTTACAGTAACGTAACTACTTTTTCGGGTAAAAAGTAGTGTAACGCGTTACTACTGAAAATTTGGTAACGAAACGTAGTTCCTTTTTCAATTCCGCACAACGTTACTTTTCCCATGGACAGATTTGACAGCAACACTGTCTCCTCAGCTGCGCGCTTGCAATAGTCACAAGCTCCATGGTAGGTGACAGAGGCTGGGAGCAGAGCAATCAATTCTGTGAATTACACTGTGCAAACCAAAAGTAATACTACCCACCAGATGAAGAAGGGTTGGCTCTCCACAGAACATAAAATATTAATTTTATTGAATTTTTCGTGTTCGCATTTATGAGGAAAGAAACAATGTTATGGACGTAACAGTTCTTCGGACTTGACCGCTCTGAAAGCGGCACTAATAGACTGCTTTAAAACTTTCACAGAGACCTCAAACAGGCATTTAAAACACCAAATATTACGGATTGGCATATCAAGTAAAATAAAATTCGACGATTGCTCGAAAATCGTACCTCTACCCCCACATGCTTACCGTAAGACGGCGTTCGCTCAAATCCCGCTCCGATATTAAATTTCTCTGTATAGACCTACGTGTTGTAGCCTAGTCATTAAAGAAAACGATTTAGTTTCATATTTATGTTTAAATAAAATAATTTATTTTTTCATTTCATCTATGTTGATTCTATGAAAAGTGAAAAGCATGAGTAAGAGCATAAGTTGCGCAATCGGGAGACAAATGGAGTGGGCAGACATGATTTTGACCACTTCATTAAGTTTGTTTTTGTAGAAAGCCTTTCTTTAAGGTGAATTTCGTTTTGTATTAATTGTATCTTCATTTTAATCAATGTTTCATCAACCAATTGTCTTTAATAAATAAGAAGTAAATATAGCAGGCAATATAATCAGGACTTCTCAGGAACTCCGTGCCGGCGTGTGAACTGAGCTCGTCTCATAAATGAACCGAAACTCAGCGCAAGCTACTTGCCTCAAAGATCTGAGAAATATATAGAAAGCTTGAAATGTGTACTTTAAAACAAAAGTATTTAAAACGAGAGAAAACAGACTCTCTGCTTATGTAATCCGTATGAAATGTGCATTTCTCTCTGGCGCGTTCACTACTGCGAAGATCGCGAGTCAGCATCTTTAACTTTGCAGCCGACACTGACCGACAAAGAAAACACTTGTTTATTAATAAACAATTGAAATGTCTCCTTGCTATATTTGACATATTCATAAACATTACTTTTGCCGGTTCTTTGTGACATTTTTCATGAACGCGTCACCACCGCTCAATAGTTAATATTGTTCTTTGGTGTTCAGTTTATACAGGTTTTTCAAATGTTATTTAATTTTTCAATAAGTAGAGTTCATAGTAGAATTTTATGTAGGCCTACACATTTAGGAACAGATATTGGGTTCTGCCCAAAGTCAAGCAACATAAAAGTAACGTAAAAGTAACGAGTAACTTAAAAAGTTACTTTCCAAAGGTGGTAACTAAGTAAAGTAACGGATTACTTTTTTAAGAAGTAACGAGTAACGAGCAAACACTACTTTTTAAAAGTAACTTCCCCAACACTGCCTTTAAGTCTCCTGCTTCTCTGATTTTCCTCCTGAGAAAAAGAGCTTACTAATTTGTTATGTGTCTCGTTTAGTTGACTAAATAGTTATTTGGCTGTTGGTTTACATTATCCAAATGACAAACTTCTTTGAACTTGCACTGATGAATCATTCATATTACAAAATCATGCTACAGACATTGTGTACGTTCTTAAAGCTGACCTAAAATTGGAATGGGAAAGTGTGACATGGTCTACATAATGAAACTTGTTCCTCAGACCTTTCACACAAGATGGAAACTAGAATTTTTCATCATCAAAGAAACCATGTAGCTGTATCTTGCTGAGCTAAAAGCTGTACTGAAATAAGGATGAAAAGTGAATTTGGGTACAAAAGTGACTTTGATATCCAAATTATGTGTGCTTGCAGATCCATCAGGAAGATCTGTGTGGAACTGGACCTGCATAGGAAGATTGTACTGTAAAGTTGTACTGTATATGAGAGCAATGCAAATCTCACAGCGTCATCTTTCATGTTAGAAAGGTTACTATAAAACAGTGATTGAACCATCTGGATTTTGTCAATGGCTGATGTTAATTTCTACAGTGCATGCTGGAAATATACATTTAACTATATAATTTATTATAATTAACTCTTTGACGGAATTTGACGGACCATTGACGGAATTTTCCATCATTTATGACACAACGCTTCCCCGCCACTGACAGAATTTTCGGGCTATCCATGTTTTCACTGTTATATGGTAGGCGGCACTTTTACGCATCTTCTGAAAGAGTACAGAATCTCCAGATCAAAACACAGTCGAAGAAGAAGCAGAAACAAGCGACAGAAACATTGCTTAATATGCACATATAAAATAACTCAATCATCAAACAGCATGTAAATCAAAAGTGCCTAACGTTACCGTATGAAATGTCGAACCCAGGAAGAGGTATAGGTCTGTGAAGCTTTGAGGGTGTTGATGGACTCGATCTACTTCATCTATCTTTTGATCACTGTTCTTCTGAATACGATCCGGATCCAGTCTTTGACAAAAGCGCGATTTCCTTATATTTTTGTTCAAAATGTTGATTTTTTTATTTATTTAAAAACGTTTAAATGAAAAGTGTTAATGATTTTGTTTTATTATTATTTTATTTTTGATAAAGCAGATGCTCTATTCTTTTTGACATATTCTATGTTAAGATATTCATAACATAAAATATTATGGGTGCCATGAAAGTTTTGTAAAAATGATTAAAAATGCTGCCACTGAATGGCAGCTTAAAAAAATAAAATAAAAAAAATGCCGGCAGGGAAAGTCACATAAATAGTATATCAGACTTTATAATTTAAGAAATCTATCTATTAACATTTGACAATCATAAAATCTATTTATCTAATTGCTCAACCATTGAGAAGTACATTTTGCAAATGACACACAATGTAATTTATTTTAATCGGTTAATTGTTTTTAGTCAATTGCAACAATGGCCAAATTTCAGCTTTTCATTAGTATAAACACAATGTTATATGGTAATACTTAACATAATCCTGTAAATTTGTTTTGTTTTTTGCTTTAGCAAATTGGCTCAAAATAGCATAGACAGAAAACAATATTACACTAAAAGCCATTTGTAAAGTCCTTCACATTTTCATGCTGCTTAAACAAACACACATACACCCTCACAGTATAATGACAGTTGTGTGCTACTCACAACAGGGGTAGTTCAATAGGAGTATGTCATCAACTGCAATGTAGCCTCTGCGGTCCACAGTCGCCTCTAGCAATATCTGAAAACACAAAAAGAGGAAAACATGACCTGCAACAATTTATTTGGCCTTTAAAATCAGAGTAGTTTCAGCATTTGAAGTTACAAAATTACAATGATTGCACACATCAGTAAATCATCTTGGGGAAAATGCACTTAATTCATGATTTATTTTCTGAAATCAAGCCTTATTCAATCGAGTCCAATAAAATCAAATCTTATTATCTTACACAATTTTGCTTCTCAAGTAAATTAGTCTTGTTTTAAAGCTGGATATTAAATACGATTAATACGCAGTGTTATACAGTGCAAATACATAAATAAACATAAGTGATGCCTTGTATATTAATCAACACAAAGTGGTATCTATTAAACTCCATCATAATAGTTCCAATCAAACTCACAAAAAGTGTTTTAATGAGCTGTCTGCGCTATATTTTAATTATTATCTTACATTTGCATTGTGCTTCATTAATCTTACATTAATGAAACAATTAAGAAATAATGAGAGAAAACAAGGACGAGTCTGTCAACTACACTGAAAAGAACATCATTCATCTTTTTGGCATTTCGCATCTTTTTTCTTGAGTTTTCTTTTTGCACAAGTTTTGACAGTCATTGAGAACAGAAAACGAGAAAAAGGATGCCAAAGCAAGTAAAGAGAATGAGAAAGAGAGAAAATGGATGCCAACTTCACTAAAGGGCCCCTGAGGCCTATAGAGGAAATAATGGCTTCATCAGGAGGCCTGCGTGCACTGTGACACATGGCTCTCACTCGGTATGCTGCGCGCACACACAAAGACGCATCGGCTCATAATGTGAGCGTAAGGGGCACAAGTCCCCGGGGACCGGGAGAGACGCTTCACACTCGCCAAAGGCTGTGAGCAAAGGACGGTCGCTCCAGTGTAATGAAATCAAATCAATATTGTGCGAACGACAGTGACGAGATGTTATTACACATCGAGAGCGCAGAGGCTATGTTAGCTCTTCCAACAGTACTCTGCTTTGCTGCCCACGCCTGAAGGTATTGCTTCAAAAAAAGAGAAAAGAAAAAAAGGAAAAAAAAAATACTATGTTTGTTTACGGTTTAGAAAACAAGCAAAAATCCCAGTTGTGAATGAACGTTGTGCTATTATCGTTTACTAAAACTATTAAAAACATTTAGAAGCTGAAATAGAATAAAATATTTGTTGAAAAACAAAACAAACGAAAATTGGGAATAACCTGAAATAATTGTATTGTAAGTTGAAGCACTAAAAAATAAAAATAAAATAAACCTAAAAGCAATATATTTTTTTTAAATGACTAATAAAATGAAATAAAAGCACATAAATTTATATAATAAAATAAAAAAATATCTAAATAATACAATTAATTAAAAAAAAAACTAAAGTTAACATGAAAACATAAAATATAAAAATAAAAACTATTTCAAAATATTTATAAAACTATTATAAACTAAAATAACACTGGTTTTCAATCATAAACGAGTGTTTGTTTAACTTATTACTCTCTTAAACACTTTTCACACTTGTAGAATTGCTATCATTTTTTCCCCCCTGAAAGTCATCTCAAATTATGAATTGTGGTTAATGACATTATGTGATGGAAATAAATGGGGTTGAAATTAAAAATGTAAAAGAATTTGAATAAATTGTCAGACTGCTTTGTCTTGCTGAGGCTGATATCACAGTTAGCATGTAGGCTATTTTTAATACAATTAAATACTACCTTCACACTTTTTGCATATTGTGACAAAATCGCAAGATTAATTGGTAATGAATGATGCATAATAAAAATATCCTGCTCATCTGTGATACTTAGCTTGAAATGTTTGCTTTCTTCACATATCAAATGTCTAATATTTCATTTAAAGGTGCTCTAAGCGATGTCATGTGTTTTTTAGGCCAAAACATTTTTTGTCACATACAGCAAACATCTCCTCACTATCCGCTGGCTGCCTGTCCCCTGAACACACTGTAAAGAAACGCGATCTCTGTAGACAGCCCATGCTTCACAAACAGCACCAAAAACAAACTGCAGCAACCCGCTCCCCAAAACATAACAAACTGTTCCAGCCAATGACCGACAAGAAGGGTTTGGGGGTGTGGTTTGGGGGGTTAGTGTGCGGATGAGGAGGAGGGAGGGTCTAGCTAGCCTCCGTTTTGTTTGACAATAGTTCGAACGTCAACAAGAAGTGACGTCACCCAGGATCGCTTAGAGAACCTTTAAAGCTCTTCACCGACAACATTGTCTCCTTACTGGATGTAAGAAAAATGTTGTTTGTAGTGGTGGACATGATACAGTCAGATCAGATGTTATAAATATATGAATAATTTTCTCAAAATATTGAAACTGTTAGTTAATTTATGATGCATTTCATAATACAAATTGAAAGTCTGGTTCTAGGAAATGGATAAAACTATATAATCAATACATAAAAGATTAAAGGGTCATGAAACCCCAAACCAAATTTTCTGAGATTTTATCAGAGGTATATGTGTTGAACACCATTGAAGACAATGTTAGCATCAGTTAGATTTAATAGCAGGGTTAAAATGGTTAAATTTGAGTTTTTTTCCGCTTTTTTTGTCTTCCGGGTTTAAAATCTTCATCGTGTCCACGTCACAGGCTGTGACGTGGCAGTGCACTGTAAGTGCGTTGATGACTCATCGGTGTCTCATAATTATTAATGAGACTGAGTTTTCATATCCTATGAGAAGACACTGTCTCTTAATTATTCATGACACCACGTGGATCTTTCCAGTGACATGTCAAACTGTGATATCGCGTAGTAGATGAGAGAGGCAATCATGGGACGCACGCAAGTGTTTGTTTTCGTGGTGCAAAAGTCCAATTGGGTTGAATATGTTTCCCCGCGATGCTGCCCGGGCTAGACTCTGGCTCTGGGCGGTTGGTTTTCCATCAACCACGGACACATCTAAACGTGTGTGCCGCAAACATTTTTCTCGAGAGAGCTTCGAGAATTGGAGAATGGTGGACTTCGCCTTGTTGACGACCAATGCAGGTTGCGTCTTGCGAGTGATGCGGTACCAAGTCCCGAGGACTTTTCTATCCCTTCAGAGGTGTGTGTGTGTGTGTGTGTCTAAAATGAGACGTCATCCACCTCCACAGAGCCATCTTTATTATGGGGGTTCAGGGGGCGCGTATAGATCTAGCTATGCACGTAACGTTTTTTTTTAAGCGGAAAATTAATAATTTTCAAATATATATATTTATAGTGTCTATATAAACAACTATATATTTTATAATAACATTATAATTATACATGTAGCCTACATTAATATGTTCTCAATATAATTATGATTACTGTAGGCTAATATAGCAGGGCATTCAGTTACTTTTGAAAGGACAATAATAAAGTGTCGTATTTCATAAGACTTTAACTTTGCCAGCTATAAAAAAAATCTAGCATTTCCTCACGTTTTACCACTGCTTTTAGTGACAGTCGATATGCATGGGATACTGGCGATGACAGTGATGGCCATACCACACCCCTTCTCACAGCCATCCACGCCCATTTAAGTTGCATTTTTCAAAAAGATTGTGAGCTAGACTTAAGCTGAAAGAGGGGGGTTTCATGACCCTTTAAATGTAGTGAAAATAAATGACAAAGACATGAAAAAAGTTTTCAAGACAGTTTAAATGTGAACTTTATATAACAAAAATAAAAAGTTGTTAAACATGAAGGATTCTTTGATCCTTAATGTGCATTCAACGAATATTTATATTTATTCTATTTCAGCTTCTAAATGTTTTTAATAGTTTTAGTTAACGATAATAATGATGACACAAAGTTCATTCACAATAGTATCTAGTTTATCTTCTTTTTTTGGAAGCAATACCTTCAGGCGTGGGCGTCAAAGTAGAGTACTGTTGGAAGAGCAAAGTCTCTGTGCTCTCGATGTGTAATAACATCTCATCTCGTCGTTCGCACAATATTCAAAATTTTTTTTTTTTAAAGAAAACCCTGAACTTTTAAACGCTAACGTAAACATGCCTAAAGTTGAAGAAACCTGTCAAAACATCGTCAAAAGTGGTAGTCTTATCCATGAGCGTTGCTATCAGTGAAAGGGGATTTGTATGTTTTGGAGCCGTAGCACTAGTTGACGGCAGTATCTCTCAGAGCTGTCATGGCGGCGCTTCATTCCATGTTCAACTTCCCCATTACCTGGTCAGCAGAACATTCCGGGCTGTCAGAAGCCTCTTATTTCATCACTGAACAGCATGATTTCATGCTTCTGACCTATCCTTGACCTCAAACGGCGCCGACATACGTGAAGATGGATGTGAAGTCTCTGATTGGGATCTAAAAAACACGACGTGCTTTGCGGGAAGAGAGGAGGAAAGTGACTCCAGACAGCAGAATATACAGCCAGCGCTGGCTCAGGCTCTGTAACACAACTTTAATCTCCTGTTGGAAAGGACTGCCATATAACCACAATAATCTGACAACAGACTTGCAGGATGATGCAACGGGAGATTACTCTGAAATGCGTTTTGGAATTTCCCTCACCATTCCACGGGTGTGCCTCTGCTGACATGCCATCAGCCCTCCGAAACAAAAGACCAAATCACACTTTTTTTTTTAAGGCATTCTTATGCTATTAAAATCCTCTACCCGCATCACATTTATTCTAATCAGTGGCTATACTCCCTTCCTTCACGGAACAAATCTCTCTGATTTATGATGAAAATAAAAAAAACCTCTTTCTGGGTATGGCAATGCAGGGCTGAGTTGAATCCTATATTTTCCTGCTAAGGAGACGATCATCTCTATAGTCCTTCTATAAGCAAGACTTGTGACAGCAATGGATCAGATCAAAAGAGGCATATGTGTGTTTTTCAAGGTAGAAAGATTGCCATGTATCGGATTAATGAAGCGCACAACGAAAAGACAATAACATAACATTGACGATGCCGGACATTAGAACAAAGGAAACTCAGGGCTTAAATACAGGGATGATTAACACAACTAGGACTATGTGAGAACTCCATGGA